AATTTGTAAACTATGACAGTGTTCTAAAAATAGAACACAGCAATGATCACAAAAGGAGTGTGATGACGTGGTAACACATCAGATGAAGTTTGTAAAAATAGAAATAATGACGTGGTAACACATCAATGAGGTTAAATAAAACTCAAATGACGTAATCAATACGTGGATAAAACTCAAAAAATTATGGGTTGAATAACAATAAAATCTTAAAAAAGTCAGATGAAAATCTAAAAATCTCAAATAGAAAAGTCAGCTGACTAAACTGACCAAAATTATAGTAAATAATAGTAAAATATATAATAAAATATAATAAAAATATATAGTCATATATAATATATATATATATTTTGGACCTCAAAAAGTCATAATAGACATAATATTGGCACACCCACTGACTGTTATGGGATGAATAACATAAAATTCCTTTGCTTGATTTAATGTTATCAGCCGTCAGGAAATCGTTACATGCACTTCCCTTCGGTTGTTATTTCACTCTTATTTTCCTGACAACTGACAACGTTAAATTTTCACGAATGAATTCAATTATTTAATGCTTTCCATCGATTTGAGAAAAGTGATGGTGGTAAATGAGCATTGCTGTACGCGTTTTTTGCAATGGTTATAGTCATTGAATTTTTTTGTTGTGTTATGTCATCATCATCGTTTAACATTAATAAAAGTAAGGTGTTCAGGTTAGCTGTTGAAATGGCTTGGAGTGGAATTATTAATGCTTTTTCTTGTGCTGCTAAGGAGAGTTGGTCGTCGTATAAGTATTGTGGTATTATTTTCCCACTTTTTGAGAATTTTAATGTTAAGTAACCCATGGAATTTGGCGGTTTTATGTAAAATGGTCTGGTTGTGTATTTCGATCTTACAAGTGTTGTCTTTTCCGAGTAGGGAATGTTGAGTTCCGACCAACTGGATTCTTCTGTGTTGGTAGGAAGGTCTATTATGAGAGTGGGATAGTTGATTGGAGAGATTGTACTTCCGTTTGAATAATATAGTTTGTTGAATACGTGTGTTTCTTCTGGTATATTTGTGGTTATTGTAATCTTTGAAAACCCATAATAGTTTGAATCTGGTGTGTAAGTTGTTGTAGTGTTTTCTTGGATTGATATGTTTTTTGATTGTAGGGCAGGTTGTACGTTTATTGTTGTATTGACCTCATTTAGTCCGTAATGATTTTCATCTGGTTTGAGGATGTAATTTCCATTGTTTGTGAATGTATGTGTTAGTGTTTGAAGAGGTGGTCTAACATCTGTTGTTATTGATACTTGATTAAAAGTGTGATTTGGTTCAGGAAAGAAGGATTGTTGACCATTTTGGTTTATTAATTTTACTAACATATCTTCTGTTTTAGGAGGTACATCTATTTTGAGGTTCACTTCTTTTATTCCATCATAATTAGGTGGTGTTTTAATTGTATAATTTCCATTTTGGGTTATGTAAGAAGATAAAGTTATAGAATTTATTGTTTGGTTTGTTTCTAAATCTGGTATATTTGTTAGAGAAATCGTTTGTTTTTCGGAAATTAAGTCGAATGAATCTTGATTTAATTTGTTACATGTTTTTATAAGGTTTGTTAGGTTTATCTCTGTTTCCATTGTTTAAATGTTTAATGAGATGAGTCGAATAATTAGTCAATTAGATATTTAATTTTCTTTGTTGAAGTATTTGATCCAAATTTCATCAAAAAGACCTGGAGAAATTGTTGAGACTCCACCGTTAATTTCTAAGTCTATTTCAATGAATTGTTGATTTGGATTTTGTTCTCTTCCACTGCCTTCTAATGTTAATGATAGACGTTTGGTTGAATCATTATAATTTAATCTATAAGGAAATATTATTATGTTTTTTTGAGGGGTGATATTGAACCATTGATTTTTGTATGCACCAAAATGTATTGTGTGATCTTTCAAGTCAAAGGTCATTACTGCGTAGAGGATTCCAGTTCCTTCTGTAATCATTATTTCATGATTATCATCATCTCTCATTGTTAGAAATGTTACAGTTGAAGTTGGAATGTTTAGAGATTGCCATGTTTGAGTATTACCATTTTCAGAAGTTATGATTATATGATTGGTTGGTTGTTCATTTATTTGTGTTTGGGTTTCATTATTATCTGGATTAATTCCTGTTAGTTTTATTTTGTTTATTACAAGTAAACTTGGTATATCTTTTAGAGTTATTGTTTCCTTTTCTAAAACAATGTCGTATTGATTCATTTGTAGGATATTACAAATGTTTATTAGGTCTTTAATACTTACTTCCGTATTCATTGATATTTCCAGTTTCTCTTGGATCTTATAATATCAGTTTATGTCGTTTTCATCTAATTCAACCTTTAAGCATAAGAAATATAGTCCAACTAAAGCCACTGTTGATATTTCAAAACGTAATCAGAGACAAGAACTTACTGTTACTATTCCTGTATCAACTGAATGGAAGGGTGCTATGAAACATCTTAGTGGAAGAGATTATAGTGATGTTCATACTATTTCAGTTTTATCTATGCTTTCTGGTTCCAGACAATTTATAGAAATGTGTGATTGTTTTGATCAATTTAAAATTATGGATGTTCATATTTGTGGCGATGTTAGTAAAGGAGTATCCACATTAATGAATTTTAAAGTGTGTTTTATAAAGAGTATTTCACTTCAGGTGAGTACTGATAATGGTTCAACTTGGACAGATATTGATGCTGCTGATTTATTAGTTGATGCGAATCATGTGTATTTTGAAGAAGGTCAGGCTGGCGAATTTATTGAATATTATAATGGGAATTTTTATATCGGAAAACCGGAACATGGTGCTGGTTATCCAATAATTGCCACACAAGTTCTTAGTTTTCCAACTGTTTATGGACTAGCTAGTCGTCGTACTGTTCCTCCCGGATTTTTTACTCCAAGTCCTACAGGAGTTTTATATGTTGAGCCCAGTTTTGATGTTCTTTCTTCTTATTCTTCTTTTATATATCAAAGTAAATTACCCGGTGCTAGTTTACATTTATCACTTGATGTTGCTGGAGTATCTTCGAGTGAAAAAATGATGACAACCCCCACTATGATGGCAGGAAAGTTATATAAATTTATTCCAGAAAATCAAAATGGACGTTTTTATCCTTTTATTATGTATGGTGCTAAAGCCACTCTTCCTACTGGTGAAGGTGATATTACTGATGCTCTTTCTTTTATTGATGATGGTGGTATTTCTTGGACTGGTAATGCGGGAATACCACAAGAAGAAGAAGAAATTATTTTGGATAATGCCAATGTTGATTTACAGGATGTTATTCGTGATAATGTGAAAATAAAAGTTCGTGTTGGTCGTGGTATTGTAGTTGGAGGATTTCAGGGGTCAGATGCTGCAGATGTTGAAGCTGCATATAAACAAGAACTTGCTAATCATACCAGTGTTGATAGTGATGGTTCGTACATTATGAAAATTATGGGTTATATTACTGTTAGATTTAAACAATTACGTTCATCTCCACTTGAAATTGTTGAAGCATATAATTTTGTTCGTTGCCAATCATCTTGGAAGGATACTCAGACAGGTCAAACTGTTTCTCATGATAGTGTAATTTCGTTAAATGGATTAGGTCAATTTGTTCAAGACGGTGTTAGTGGGTTTGTTATTGAACGTGGTGATGGAGAATCTTGGAGTGATGCTCTAAAACGTTATGGTTATGAAAATTTGCCTGTTGACACTTTCATGACTCTTGGTTCTCTTGCTGAAGGAACGGGTATTACTTCTTATGTGTGTAACTTAGCTAAAAGAGGAGTTAAAAGTGTAATTGGTCCTTTAGTTGAAAGTGCTCTTTCTGATGCTATACCTGGTTATAATACGGCTAAAGTGTTGGTAGGTTATGCTTATACTGGTATTTCTGAGGGTATGCAGTTTATTGATAATAATACATATTTGAGTGCTGGTCGAGATGCATTGGAATCTGTTTTAATTGGTGGTTTGAGGAAAGTTGCTGGTGATGAAGTTGTTGATTTTTTTAGTAATGCTACTTCGTTAATATCTAAGACTATATCATTATTTAATTAGAACTCTTAATTGAATCTTGTTTTCATTCATTTGATGCAACGACGTGCTGGTAGACGTAATTATCCAAGAAGAGGATATAAAAAACGTGCAACTTTGAAACGACAAGCATTTGGTAATTTTGCCAGTGCTATGCAACAACGAGATAGTACTAATGTTGTTATTAGTATGCAAGAAGATGTTTCTATTAATGTTCCAGTTGGTGCAAACGAAGGTACAATGTTAAGGAATGTTACTGCATTGATGACTTCTACACAATATTTTCATAATTATATGGGAATGTATGATCAATTTAAGTTAAATGCTGTTAGAGCATCTATGGAAATGACATT